TGATATTAATTCATCTGGCTAATAATTTTTCAAAATTTATTTATATATATATATATATATATATATATATATATATCTTAAGTTAAAATTGAATGACTACTTTGTTCTTATACTTTTCCTCGCAGCCACGGGTCAGGAATCCAGAACACTAAACACCACATAAACACAAACATAACAAAATAACTTTTCTCATGTTTCTTACGGTGGTTATAGTGAGAATGGTGCCAGGGCTGTTAGAGGTGCGATTGTCCCATAACATATAATTTTCAGGGATGTAGGCTACATTTAAAAAAACAAACTTATTTTAAATTACATAAAATATTGAATACTTATCATAAAATATATATTATATATTTGTATTTTATTGAAGTCTTGCCCGCCAGTATACTTTTCTTTGAGTTCTACACCCCTTGTGCACAAACAGCAAACAATAATAATAATAATAAGTGATGAATCATCTATGTGGGAGAATTTCCCGTGCGCAGTATTCCGTATTGTAGAGGTAGGTCGAATCTGTGTGCGAAATATTGCGTGATGAATGATGAGTGTGGGGAGTTTTCTTTGTGAGGAAAATCATATAAATGCAAAACTTAAATTAAGTATTTAGAGTTTTCTACAGGTGGTTGCATTTGAGTTTTTTGTTAAATAATATTATCTACTCATCTATCACCAGGACTAAGCAGGGGAAATGAAGCAAATGACCAACATTTGAAAAACCCTTAACATCGTATAAAAAGTATTTAGTATTTAAGATTAGTACAAAAAAATTATTTTAAAAAAAACACTGTATCATGGAGCTCTTCTGGTTCTAAACATAGCTACATTGAGATTTTCTAACACATATATTTTTTTATTTCTAATTATCTGTTGTTTATTGTTTTGTATTGTCTGCTAATTAAAGAAGGCGTCTGGCAGAAACCTCATTTTAATTGTCCTGACTTGTCATTTCAAGCATAAGCATAACTTGTTACACCATTTCCTTCAATGTTTAATTAAGCATTTATTTTATTTTATCTAGAATAAATTAATCACAATTAAGAGCCACTTGTGTCCTGTTTTCTCGGGATAAGCAAAACCCCTGGAAATTAGAAACCCTAAAAGCAACATCATTTTAATACCAAATAAATCCGTTTTTTTTTAGATAGTTCAATCAGATAGTGTTAGTGCTGCCGGTCCCGGTTCATGATTTTTATTCGCCACTTTCCACGAAAAAAAAAAACTAACCTATGCCATGCAGTTGACTGAAAAT